ATCTTAGCCTCCTGAGTAGCTAGCATTATAGGCTTGTGCCACCAGTGCCTGGCTTCATTACCTGACTTATAACTCCTCTATATCACCTTTACACTAACAATAATTTTTTTAAAAAAGAAAAACAAGAAAGGATTGCCCCGGCCCACATGGTCAGTCAACAAGGGCTCAAAGAGGAACTGACCTGAATGAGAGACAAACCAGACATGAGGAAGGAGACCAAGACAGGGTTCTGATCAAGGTCTCAAACTTTATTTTTTACACAGCAGTATATATAGCACGCTGAGCAGGGTAATTAGCATCAGCAGGTCAATAGGGTTGCTAGACACCAAAACTGCAAAGTATATCTTTTTTTTTTTTTTGGGTCCAGTCATGGGGCCTGAACTCTGGGCCTGGGCGCTGTCCCTCAGCTCTTCAGCTCAAGGCTAGCGCTCTACCACTTGAGCCACAGCGCCACTTCTGGCTTTTTTCTTTTTGCTTATGTGGTGCTGAGGAATCGAACCCAGGGCCTCAGGCATGCAAGGCAAGTGCTCTACCACTGAGCCACCTTCCTAACCCCACCAAGACTGTTTAAAAACAAATTATTAACTGGGGGCAAGTGGCTTAGGAGGCTGAGATCTAGAATCACAGTTTGAAGCCAGCCCAGGCAGACAAATCTGACTTATTTTCAATTAACCATCAAAATTCTGGAAGAAGCCGGGTGGTTCATGCCTGTAATCCTAGCTACTCAGGAGGCTGAGATTTGAGGATTGCAGTTCAAAGCCAGCCCAGGCAGGAAAGTAAGTGAGACTCTTATCTCCAATAAACCACTAGAAAATGGAAGTGGCACTGTGGTTCAAGCAGCAGAGTGCTTGCCTTGAGCTGAAGAGCTGAGGCATAGCACCCAAGCCCAGAGTTCAAGCCCTGAAACCAACAACAACAAAAAAAGAAAAACATTTTTTTTTGCCAGTCCTGGGGCTTGAGCTCAGGGCATTGTCCCTGAGCTTCTTTTTGCTTATGTGGTACTAAGGAATCGAACCCAGGGTCTCATGCATGCAAGCATGCACTCTACCACTGTGCCACCTTCCCAGCACCCCCCCAAAAAAATTCTTGAAGAGGAGGTGTGGCTCAAGAGGTAAAGTACCATCCTTTGGAGAAAAAGCTAAATATTAAGCAAGGGCATGAGGCCTTAAGTTTAAGCCCTAGTACTGGAACGTATACACACACACACACACACGCAAATATCGAATATTATATCTTCATAACATAAACAGTTGTTATATATAGTGTGAGGAAAAGGTGTTTTAATTGATTTCTATTGCTATACCAGAATCCCTTGGCCTATATAATTTATATTTAAAAAGCACAGAGGAGGGATGACTAGTGTAGGGTTTTTGTTGTTTCTTTTGGTACTGGGGATAGAATCCAGGGACAGGTTCTCTACCACTTGACTATAACCCTAGTAGACATAAATGACTTAAAAACTTATCTTTATTTACTTGCAGTGCTAGAAGCTAGGAGTCCAAGATCAAGGCGTGGTTAATAGTTGTTTCATCTGAGTTTCTTGACAGTCTTTCCTTTGTCTTTGAATGGTGGTCTCCTTTGTGTGTATTTATGTCTTAATATTCTTCCCTCTTCCTTCCCCTCCCCATTCCTCTATCTCTTTCTCCACTATTAGAGATTGAATCCCTGGCCTCTGGAATGTTAGGAAAAATTCTCTGCCATACTTGGAATCTTAATCTTATCTCTTTTGTTGTTGTTGTTGGTTGTGGGGCCTGAACTCTGGGCCCTGGGCGCTGTTCCTCAGCTCTTCAGCTCAAGGCTAGCACTCTACCACTTGAGCCACAGTGCCACTTCTGGCTTTTTCTGCTTATGTGGTGCTGAGAAATCAAACTCATGCATGCAAGGCAAGCATTCTACCACTGAGCTACCTTCCCAGCCTTTTGTCTTATTATGACATAGGTCATGTATGTTTAGGGCTTACCTTCTTGGCTTTATTCAATTTCTTTTCTTTCTTTTTTTTTTGTTGGTGGTGGGGTTTGAACTCTGGGCTTGGGTGCTATCCATGCACTCTTCAGCTCAAGGCGAGTGCTCTACCTCTTGAGCCACAGTACCACTTCCGGTTTTCTAGTGATTTATTGGAGATAAGAGTCTCACGGACTTTTCTGCCCGGGCTGGCTTTGAACCATGATCCTCAGATCTCAGCCTCCTAAGTAGCTAGGATTACAGGCGTGAGCCACCGGTGCCCAGCTTCAATTTCTTTTTTTTTGGAGGCACTTGGGTTTAAACTCAGGGTCTTGTGATTGTTAGGTAGGTTCTTTACCACTCAGTCATGTCCTTAGTCCATCATTTAATCTTAATTGTCTTTTTAGAGACCCACTTTCGAAATATATTTGCATTCTTAGGTCATAGGAATTTTGCATAGATATGTTAGTTTTATAAGAGTAGAAGCTGGACAATAATTAGTGAAGGTTTGATCCCGCCTTATTTCTCCAGATCAAGCAAAAAAACCAGGTGTGCGCATGCACAGATGTGCTTGACCATAGGCCTAGCCGAAAGTTCCTGCTACCCCTAACTGAAAGTATCCACACCTAAGCCCCTAAGTAACCACAGCCTGTTTTTCTATTTTCTTTTTTCATTAAGACAAAAGAAGCCTGACCCCCAACTCCATCTCCTTGCATGTCCTCCATTCCCTCTGGGGAGGTTGGGGCCCCTTGCTGTGCTTTAATAAACGCTCCTTGCCCTTTGAAATAGAGTCCAGCCTGTTCTTTCTTCTTCATTTTCCTAACAATTAGAATAACAAATTATTAGATAGTAATTAGTAGTTATTAGGCAATAATGTTGTCTTAAAATGTTTGTGCTCAGGGGCTGGGAAGGTGGCTCAGTGGTAGAGCGCTTGCCTTGCATTTCTGAGGCCCTGGGTTCGATTCCTCAGCACCACATAAGCAAAAAGAAAAAAAAGGCCGGAAGTGGCGCTGTGGCTCGAGTGGTAGAGCGCTAGCCTTGAGCTGAAGAGCTGAGGGACAGCGCCCAGGCCCAGAGTTCAGGCCCCACGACCGGACCCAAAAAAAAAAAAGTTTGTGCTCAGGACATATTTTGAAAGAAAAGCCAAATGTTTTTGCTGATTAGATTCCATGTGGTTAAAAAAAAAAATGACCGGGGCTGGGAAGATAGCTCAGTGGTAGAGCGCTTGCCTTGCATGCCTGAGGCCCTGGGTTCGATTCCTCAGCACCACATAAGCAAAAAGAAAAAAGCCGGAGTGGCACTGTGGCTCAAGTGGTAGAGTGCTCGCCTTGAGCTGAAGAGCTGAGGGACAGGGCCCAGGCCTAGAGTTCAGGCCCCATGACCGGACCAAAAAAAAAAAAAAATTAAAAAAAAAAAAAAAGCCGGGCGCTGGTGGCTCACGCCTGTAATCCTAGCTACTCAGGAGGCTGAGATCTGAGAATCGAGGTTCAAAGCCAGCCTGGGCAGGAGAGACCGTGAGACTCCTATCTCCATAAACCACCAGAAAACCGGAAGTGGCGCTGTAGCTCAAGTGGTAGAGCGCTCGCCTTGAGCTGAAGAGCTGAGGGACAGCGCCCAGGCCGAGTTCAAGCCCCACGACAGACAAAAAAAAAAAAAAAAAAAAAGTTTCACGGAGTTTCCTGCCCAGGCTGGCTTTGAACCACGATCCTCAGATCTCAGCCTCCTGAGTAGCTAGGATTACAGGCGAGAGCCACCGATGCCCGGCTTGAATCTTGTTCTTCTTTTCTCATCTGCTAGAATTACAGTTACAGGTGTGAGCTACTGACTGACTCCTTCTCCCTCTCCCTCTTCCTCTCCCTCTCTCTATCCACTCCCTCTCCCTCTCCTCCCTGTCCCCCTTGGGCCTAATTGCTGTTCCTGAGCTTCTGTACTCAAAGCTAGTCCTCTACCACTTGAGCTACAGCTCCACTTCCGGCTTTAAGTTTTTTTTTTTTTACTTTTTTTTCCTAGTTTAGTTGAGATAAGAATCCCATTTACTTTCCTGCCTGGGGTGGTTTTGTACCATGATTCTCAGATCTCAACTTCCTGAGAAGCTTAGATTACAGGTGTGAGCCACTGGCACTGGGCTCCCTTTCTCTGTCTCTGTTTCTCTCTCTGAGACAGTCCTGGGGCTTGAACTCAGGGCCTGGGCACTGAGCTTCTTATGCTCAAGGTAAGCTCTCTACTCCAAGAGCCACGGCCCCAATTCCGGCTCTGCTTATGTGGTATTGAGGAATCCAACCCAAGGCTTCATAAAAGCATGTTAGGCAAGCACTCTACCACTAAGCCATATTCCCAGTCAATCTCTCTTTTGAGACCATTTCTTAGCAATGTAAGCCCAGGTTGGTCCGTCATTTACCACACTGCCTTGCCACACCTATAATTCCAGGTATTCAGGAAGCGGAGATCTGTGGATTGGGATTTGAAGCCAGCCCAAGAGGAAAATCTGAGAAACTCTTATCGAACTAATAAGCTCAGGGGCGGAGCCCAGGCTCTGATTTCAAGTCCCAGAAAGGGCACACACATAAACAACAATAACACAACATAAGCTGCATTTTTCATAATCATTGAAAATAATCTTTAATTTCAGGTGTTTTTTTTTTTGGCCAGGGCAGTACTTCTAGTTTTCTGGTGGTTAATTGCAGGTAGGAGTTTCCCCGACTTTCCTGGCCAGGGAAGGTTTTGAACTGTGATCCTCAGATCTCAGCCTCCTGAGTAGCTAGGATTGCAGGCAGGAGCCACCGTCGGAGGGCTGAATTTTAGTAGCTTTAAAAAATAAAGAGATGTCACACACTACTGCACGCAGCAGACGATTTATCTCGTAAGTAAAACCCGCACTCTCCTCTACGGTAGGATAAAAATCCGTATTACTCCAGACAACACAGGCTGTTTGGGCGGTAAAGCGCTCACCCTGGTGCGCACGCGCGTTTCGAATCAACGTCTCCCGCCGCAGACCTGCCTGCGCAGGCGCGTCGCGGAGGGGCGGGACCGGCGTCGGCGTCTCTTCTTCCAACTGCAGATTGTGGCAGCGCCATTTTGAACCTGCGGCTGGTGAGGGCGTGAGTTTCGGGAGGCTGGGCTACGGCCTCGGTTACCGGGCGGTGTCTCCCCTCACTTTCTCTGGTGTGTTTCCATAGATACTTGTGGAGACGTATCCGTCTTTACATCTAGGCTGGTATCCAGTGTCGAGGCGGACTCGTGGAAGATGATGTTACGAGGAAACCTGAAGCAAGTGCGCATCGAGAAGAACCCGGCCCGCCTTCGCGCGCTCGAGTCGGCAGCGGGCGAAGGGGAGCCGGCGTCCGCGGCGGCCATGGCGCTGACGCTGGCGGGGGAGCAGGCCCCACCGGGCCCCGCGCCCTCGGAGGAGCATCCCGAGGAGGAGGTGGGCTTCACCATCGACATCAAGAGTTTCCTGAAGCCGGGCGAGAAGACGTACACGCAGCGCTGCCGCCTGTTCGTGGGGAACCTGCCCACCGACATCACCGAGGACGATTTCAAGCGGCTCTTCGAGCGCTACGGCGAGCCCAGCGAGGTCTTCATCAACCGCGACCGCGGCTTCGGCTTCATCCGCCTGGTCAGTCCGCGCCCGCGCGGCGGCCCCGGGCCCGGGCCGGCTGGGGGGGCGGGGCGTCGCAAACGGCGTCGGGGGTCACAGTTTCCTTTTTTCTTTTCTTTTTTTCCCGTGTCCCGGTCTTAGGGCTTAAACTCAGGGTCTGGGCTGTTCCATGTTCCAGGGCTACTGCTGCTGCTGCTTCCCTCCACCCCCCCCCCCCTCCTTTCATAGCTAGCGCTCTACCACTTGAGCCCACACATCCACTTTCTGGCTTTTGAGTGATTAATTGGAGATAAGAGTCTTTTGACTTCCAACCCCGCTGGCTTTGAACCGTGATTCTCAGATCTTAGCTTCCTGAGACGCTGACATTATAGGCACGAGCCACCTGCTCCCAGCTGAAGTGATCTCTCTCTCTCTCCCTTCCCTCTCCCCTCTTGCCAGACCTGGGACTTGAACTCAGGGCCTGGGCGCTATCCCTGTGCTGCTTTTGCTCAAGGTTCGACCACTTGAACCACACCACCATTTCCGGCTTTTTCTGTTTATGTGGTACTTAGGAATCGAATCTAGGGCTTCATGTATGCTAGGCAAATACTCTACCACGAAGCCACATTCCCAGCCCCCAGAGTGATTATATATATATATATATATATATATATTTTTTTTTTTTTTTTGGGTCGGTCGTGGGGCTTGAACTCTAGGCTTGGATGCTGTCCCTGAGCTCTTCAGCTCAAGGTTAGTGCTCTACCACTTGAGCCACAGTACCACTTCCAATTTTCTGGTGATTAATTGGAGATGAGCGCCTCATGGTCCGAGATCCTCAGATCTCAGCCTTCGAGTATCTAGGATTACAGGTGTGAGCCACCGGCCCTCGGCCTGGAGTGATAATTCTTAAGAGATAAAATTAAAAGTTAGAGGGAAAGCTACACTATCTAGCTCTAAATTTCACAGAATGTGAGATTCCAAGCAGCAGACCTGCTTCTCTTTGCTCTCCAGCAGAGCCGCCATGCCTTTGGCATTAAACATCGTTATTTCTTGCCTCCAGCTCACTCCGCTTTTTACCTCGTACTAATCAGCTGCCTCAATCTCTGCCAGGCCAGTAACGGCTTAATGTTTATTTGTTAGGGAATCTAGTGTTTTTTTCCTCGTGTTCTTGGGATTGTGAATGGGGGGTAAAACAGGATGGATGATGATATACTACTTGTGTACCCCAGAATTACAATATTGTGCAACCTACCCCTTCTAATTTGAACTTCAGAAAAGATGTCTAATAATTTGTCCCTGTTTAATAACCTTTCTGTTTTTGGGATGGAGGTAGATTTGAGGTTCGAATTTAAGGCCTTGTATTTAGCTTTACAGGCTGATATCCTGCCACAGGAGTCACCCCGCCCCCCCCATCCCCAGCCCTATCCTTAACTTTTCTTTCTTTTTTTTTGTCGGTCGTGGGGCTTCACTCTGGGCCTTGGCACTGTCCCTCAGTTCTTCAGCTTAAGGCTAGCGTTCTACCCTTTGGGCCACAGTGCCACTTTTGGCTTTCTATTGGTTTATTGGAGATAAGAGTCTCATGGACTTTCTTGCCCAGGCTGGCTTTGAACCACGATCCTCAGATCTCAGCCTCCTGAGTAGCTAGGATTACAGGCGTGAGCCACTGGCATCCAGCTATCCTTAACTTTTCTATGTAGCATTTGTGGGGGTTACACTTAGGACAAAAAATTACTTTTTAACATTTTCCTGTACACTTTGTGGTGAAGATTTTTTTTTTTTTTGTTGGTCATGGGGCCTGAACTCTGGGCCTGAGCACTGTCCCTCAGTTCTTCAGCTCAAGGCTAGTACCCTACCACTTGAGCCAAAGCACCACTTCCAGCCTTTTCTGCTTATGTGGTGCTGAGGAATCGAACCCAGGGCCTTATGCATGCAAGGCAAGCACTCTACCACTGAGCCACTTTCCCAGCCCAAGATTGTTGATTATACAGTGCTTTTCTTTTCTTTTCCTTCCTTCCTTCTTCTCTCTCTCTCTCTCTCTCTCTCTCTCTCTCTTTCTTTCTTTCTTCCTTTTTTTTTTTGAGTCCTGGTACTGGGGCTTGGACTCTGGGCCTGGGCGCTGTTCCTGAGCTCTTCAGTTCAAGGCTAGCTCTCTACCACAGCGCCACTTCTGGTTTTCTGGTGGTTAATTGGAGATCAGAGTCTCACAGACTTTACTGCCTGGGCTGTCATGAACCATGATCCTCAGATCTCAGCCTGCTGAGTAGCTAGGATTACAGGCTTGAGCCACCTGCGCCTGGACAATCTACATTTATTTTTTATTTATTTATTTATTGGGTCCGGTCGTGGGGCCTGAACTCTGGGCCTGGGCGCTGTCCCTCAGCTCTTCAGCTCAAGGCTAGCGCTCTACCACTTGAGCCACAGCACCACTTCCGGCTTTTTTCTTTTTGCTTATGTGGTGCTGAGGAATGGAACCCAGGGCCTCATGCATGCAAGGCAAGCGCTCTACCACTGAGCCACCTTCCCAGCCCTTATTTTTTATTTTTGTCAGTCCTGGTTCTTGAACTCAGGGCCTGGGTGCTGTCTCTGAGCCTCTGTGCTCAAGGCTAGTGCTCTACCACTTGAGCCACAGAACCACTTGTGGCCTTTTCTTTTTTCTTTTTCTTTTTTTTTCCTGGTCGTGGGACCTGAACTCTGGGCCTGGGCACTATCCCTCAGCTCTTCAGCTCAAGGCTAGTGTTCTACCACTTGAGCCTCAGTCCCATTTCCGGCTTTTTCTGCTTATGTGGTGCTGAGGAATCGAATCCAGGGCCTCATGCATGCAAGGCAAGCACTCTACCATTGAGCCACCTTCTCAGACCAAACTTGTGGCCTTTTCTGAGTAGTTGTTTATTGGAGATAGAGTATCACAGACTTTCTTGCCTGGGCTGGCCTTGAACAGCGATCCTCAGATCTTAGCCTCCTGAGTAGCCAGGATTACAGGCAGGAGCCATCAGCACCTAGTTGCTATTTCGTAAGTTAGATAATGAGTACATTTCTCTTTTTTTTTGGACAATGTTACCCCTTCACTTTCCCCCTGTGTCCTCCCTCCATTCCTGTCCGTAAGTTACAAGTTTTTTGTGTTGGAAAGATTTGTCTATAAGAAATTAACATAGGAGGCTGGGAAGTTGGCTCAGTGGTAGAGCGCTTGCCTTGCATGCCAGAGGCCCTGGGTTCGATTCCTCAGCATCACATAAGCAGAAAAAAAAAGCCGGAAGTGGCGCTGTGGCTCAAGTGGTAGAGCGCTAGCCTTGAGCTGAAGAGCTGAGGGACGGCGCCCAGGCCCAGAGTTCAGGCCCCATGACCGGACCCAAAAAAAAAAAAAAAACAATAAGCAGAAAAAGCCGGAAGTGGTGTTGTGGCTCCAGTGGTAGAGCGCTCGCCTTGAGCTGAAGAGCTGAGGGACAGCGCCCAGGCCCAGAGTTCAAGCCCCACAACCAACAACAACAACAAAAAAAAAAAGAGAGAAAAAAGGAATTAACATAGGTATGGTAGGAAAAAACTGGGAGAGAGCAAGGGAAAGGGTGACATTGACCAAAAAGAAATGTACTCTTATGTAACAACCCCTCTGTATATTGCCTTTATAATAACAATAAAAAATTAAAAAAAATCAGCGCACAAGTAAATACATTTATTTATTTATTTTTGGTGCCAGTCCTGAAGTCAGGGCCTGGTTGCTGTCCCTGAGCCTTTTTGCTCAAGGCCATCACTCTACCACTTGAGCCACACCTCTACTTTCCACTTTTTTACTGGTTAATTGGAGATGGAGTCTCTTGGATTCTTCTGTCTGGGCTAGCTTTGAACTTCAGTACTCAGATCTCAGTCGTCTGAGTATTTCTCAGCTTCCTGAGTAGTTAGGATTATAGGGGTGAGACACTTGTGTTAAGCTATTTTTAGTTTTCTGAGGAACCCTCCATATGGATTTCAATAATATAGTAATTGCTGTAGTTTCATCCCCACCAACATCCCCACTCCTCATCAGGATTTGTTTTCTAGCTCTGTGTGTGTGTATACATGTGTACGTGTGTACGTGTACATGTGTGTACATGTACGTGTACTAGATCTCTGTTTCACTCAGCTTTTGTTTAAGTTTTTTTATTCATGATTGAGCTTCACCAATTTGCCATACCCCAAGTTCAGTTTTTTGCTGGTTAATCAGAGATAAGTCTCCAGGATTGGTTTGCCCTGGCTGGCTCTGGTTTTACAGACATTACCCATGTGTGTGCACGTGTGTGTGTGTGTGTGTGTGTGTGTACACACATGTGTGCGCGTGCACCTGTGCCAGTAAATGGGGCTTGAACTCAAGGCCCTCATTCTTTTTTTTTTTTAAGCGGTTGTGGGGCTTGAACTCTGGGCCTGGGAGCTGTCCCTCAGCTCTTCAGCTAAAGGCTGCTACTCTACCACTTGAGCCATAGCACCACTTCCAGCTTTTTCTGCTTATGTGGTGCTGAGGAATTGAACCCTGGGTCTCATGCATGCAAAGCAAGCACTCTGCCACTGAGCCACCTTTCCAGCCCAAGGCCCTCACATTCTTTCTTGGCTTTTTTGATGATACCTAGTGCCCTACTGCTTGAACACCTCAAAAGCTCCAGCTTTTTACTGGTTAATTGGAGCTATGAGTCTCATGGACTTTTCTGCCTGATCTGGCTTTGAACCTCTGTTCTCAGTTCTTAGCCTCTTAAGTAGCTAGGATCTCAGTTGTGAGCCATCAGCACTTGTCCATGGTTTTTGTTTTGTTCAGGATTTAATTCTGGATCCTTCTGTCTCAGCCTCTTGAGTACTAGGATTACAAGTATACACTATCCTGTCTGCTAAATTTTGCTGTAGTTTTCACATTTTCTATCCATTTTCATATATCAATTTGTGTGTGTGTATACAGACATAAGTGTGGAAGTATATATGTGTGTGTGTGTATGTATGTGTGTATGCGTATGTATATGTACACAGTAAACTGCACTTTTTGGAGACAGTAGTAAGAATCAAACCTAGAGCCTTGTACATGCTGTGTAGGCATTCTGCCATTGACGTATATTTCCACCACCCAGAACTACATATTTTAATTGTACCAGTTGATAAGTTTTACATCTGTTAAACTTGAAACCCTATACAAAAATATATTTTAATGCCCTAAGAAATTTCCTCATGTTCCTTGCTATTCCCAAGTCCTCCTTACAGCATTTTAATTCAAGCCTCCATTCCTAAAATCTAGCTTTCAGAATTGTTAGATTATATGGCAAATTAGGTAACAAAGTGCCTGACTTTTATTCATTAAATGCTTGCTACGACTAACAATGTTGAGTTAAAGAAAAAAATAAAATGATTATTTTGTTCATTTATAAAAATATTTCTATAGATAGATTGGTATTTGTTAAGGGTACTCATTTTGAGCCATTGTGAACATTTTAGGTACTGAATAAAGAGACAGTTTTTCATTGGGTATTATTGTATTTGTACTCTTCTCACATAAGCATATAAAGTTTCTAAGTCTTCTGGAAGCTGGGCGCCGGTAGCTCTCGCCTGCAATCCTAGCTACTCAGTAGGAGGTTGAGATCTGAGGATCACGGTTCCAAGCCAGCCTGGGCAAGAAAGTCCGTGAGACCCTTACCCCCAATTAACCACCAGAAAACTGGAAGTGGCGTTGTGGTTCAAGTGATAGAACACTTGCTTTGAGCTGAAGTAACGAGGGACAGCTCCCAGTCCACAGTTAAAGCCCCGTCACTGACCCCCCCAAAAAAAAATTGAACGAAAAACCACTATTTTAAATTTCTTATTAAAAAGCTATTTTTTCCTCTTAAAAAGGAATCCAGAACACTGGCTGAAATTGCAAAAGCAGAATTGGATGGCACCATTTTGAAGAGCAGACCCCTCCGAATTCGCTTTGCTACACATGGAGCAGCCTTAACTGTCAAGAACCTTTCTCCCGTTGTTTCCAATGAGCTTCTAGAGCAAGCATTTTCCCAGTTTGGTCCTGTAGAGAAAGCTGTTGTGGTTGTGGATGATCGTGGTAGAGCTACAGGAAAAGGTTTTGTAGAATTTGCAGCAAAACCTCCTGCACGCAAGGCTCTGGAGAGATGTGGAGATGGGGCATTCTTGCTAACAACGTGAGTTAAATATCTTTTTGTTCATTTAAATGTGAGTTCTTCCTGTTTTGTTTCTTTTTTTTTTTTTGTCTTCTTGGTTGTGGGGCTTGGACTCTGGGCCTGGGCACTCTTTCTGAGCTTTTCAGCTCAAGGTTAGCACTCTATCACTTGAGCCACAGTGCCACTTCCATAAATGTTATTTTTTGTATCTTTTCTTGTAGTTCCTACTACTGTTTTAACATATGGTAAGTAGGTGTTGTGGCAATATTCAGTAAAAATAAGAAAGTTTTGTGTATTACTAGGAATCATGAGAAGTAATCTTTTAGGAAATGTTAGCTTTATTGGGGTATAACTCATATATTAAAAAGCACTCCTCTGTGTACGTGCGTATGCTAGGACTGGGGCTTAGCTTTTTCCATTTAAGACTAGCTACAGCTGAGTGTCAGTGGCACACGCCTCCTGAGTAGGCCGAGATCTGAGGATCGAGGTTCAAAGCCAGCCCAGGCAAGGAAAGTCCATGAGACTCTTATCTCCAATTAACCACCAGAAAACAGCAAGTGGTGCTGTGGCTGTGGCTCAAGTGGTAGAGCACTGTTCTTGAGCTGAAGAGCTGAGGGACAGCACCCAAGCACCCAGGCACAGAGTTCAAGCCTCACAACTGACCAAAAAAAAAAAGACTACACCTCCACTTCTGGCTTTTTTACTAGTTACATGAACATTAAGTGTTTTGGATTTATCTTCTCAGGCTGGTTTCCTCCCCCCCTCCCCCCCTCCCCCCCTCCCCTTTCTGTGTCCAGTTTTGAGGCCTGAACTCTGTCCCTCAGCTCTTCAGCTCAAGGCTAGCGCTCTACCATTTGAGCGACAGCGCCACTTCTGGCTTTTTTCTTTTTGCTTATGTGGTGCTGAGGAATTGAACCCAGGGCCTCAGGCATGCAAGGCAAGCTCTCTACCGCTGAGCATGTTCCCAGCCCCTCAGGGTGGTTTTCTAACAGTAATCCTCAGATCTGAGCCTCAGTAACTATGATTACAGGTTTGAGCCACCAGTGCTCAGCAAGTGCACCTTTTTAAATGTGCTCAATGAGTTTTAATATTTTTAGTATTACCACGATAAGCAAATTGGAAAATTTCCATCATTCTACCAAAGTGGTTTTTTTTTTTCTTTTTGGTTGGTTGTGGAGCTTGAACTGTGGGCCTGGGCACTGTCCCTCAGCTCTTCAGCTCAAGGCAAGCGCTCTACCACTTGAGCCACAGCACCACTTTCCAAAGTTGTTCTGTTATTCCACATTCTTCCCCTGTTATTAAAATTTTATCTAGAGTAGTATTAAATGAAACGATATACTGTACATTGTTGTGTCATATGGTTTCTGATTGCCATAACAGTAATGAGATTTCAACCATATTGTGTGTACAGTACTTGGTTATTTTTACGGCTCATTCTACTTTATGGAAATAACTATAGTTTCCCTGTGGCCTGTGTTAAGATAGTTGAGTGTTTTTTTTTTTAAGGCTGGTCCTATGCTTGAATTCTGGGCCAGGGCACTGTACCTGAGCTTTTTTGCTCAAAACTAGCTCTCTGCCACTTGAGTCACAGCTCTACTCCTGAATTCTCGGTATTTAGTTCGGGTTTAGAGTCTCTCAGACTTCTGCCTGGGATGGCTTTGAATCATAATCTTCAGATGTCAGCCTCCTGAGTAGCTAGGGATGAGCCACCAGCACCCAACTTGTTCATATTTTTGATGATGGCTAATCTTACTGGGATGGGATAGAAACTCAGTGTTTTGACTTGCATTTCCTCTATAATTATTGACCATTTCCTCCTGTGTTTATTGACCTTTCTTCTGAGAAGTGTCTATTTAACTCCTTTGCCCATTTATTGGAGTGATTTTTTTGGGGGAGTTTACTTAATTTAGCTCTTTGATATTTGGTATATTAGGCCCTTGTCAGATGTCTAGCTGCTAATGATCGCCCATTCTGTAGGTTCTTTCTAGCCTTGTAATTATGTCCTTTGCTGTAAACAAACTTTTTAGCCAGTTGCAATCCCATTTGTATATTCTCAGTTTGCTGCTCAGAAAATTCCTGCTTGATATTCATTCTCTCTCTCTCCTCTCCCTAACTTGCTTCTTGAATGTTCTGTTTTGTGCCCACTGGGTTTTCCCTTTTGCTGGCTGCTTTAGGTTACATTTTGGGCTTTAGCTTTGTGTGTTTGTGTGTGCACATTGTCCCTTAGCTTTTTGTTCAACGCTTGAGCCATACCTACACTTCTGGCTTTGGCTTTAACAAATGCTATTCTGAACAATAATATTAGACAGTGAGAGTGACAAGCAGAGATGAATCGTTTGAATTGAATTGTGAGATGTGATGTGATGATAGGGATTACATATATAGAATGTGGTAGATATACATTTAAAACTTAGTGGTCATGGGGCTTGAACTCTGTGCCTAGGCAATGTCCCTGAGTTCTTTAGCTCTTCTGCTCACAGCAAGCGCTCTACCACAGGGCCACTTCCGGTTTTCTGGTGGTTTGTCGTGGATAAGAGTCTCATGGATTTTCCTGCCCAGGCTGGCTTTGAACCTCAGTCCTCACATCTCAGCTTCCTGAGTAGCTAGGATAATAGGCATAAGTCACTGGGTGCCTGGCCCCATTTAAAACATTTTATTGAACTTAATTATATTGGTTGTGCTGGCTCATAATTAGTGACTTATGTACTTCAGTGTTTATTCACCTATATCTGACTCAAAGTGTTTATTGACTGATTTTATGAATATAGAATACTTGCTGAGACATTTTTGTTAACCCAAACATTTTTCCAAGTATATGTCTTTAACAGAAGATGTTTGGAAGAGGGATTGGGAATGTGACTTAGTGGTAGAGTGCTTACTTAGCATGCACAAAGCCCTCTGTTCAATTCCTCAGCCCCACATAAACAGAAAAGGCTGGAAGTGGTACTGTGGCTCTAGTGATAGAGTTGTAGCCTTGAGCAAAAAGAAGCTCAGAGACAGTGCTCAGGCCCTGAGTTTAAGCCCAGGACTGGCAAAAAAAACACAAAAACCCAAAACCAAACAAAAACAAAAGATGTTTGGAAGAGATTATTCATGTTAGACGCTATATTGTTATTAATGCCTTTTTTCTTTTCCAGTACACCTCGTCCAGTCATTGTGGAACCCATGGAGCAATTTGATGATGAAGATGGTTTGCCAGAGAAACTAATGCAGAAAACTCAACAATATCATAAGTAAGAATTGAATAATAAAGAATATTTAGGGTGGGGGAGGACTTGGTGTGGGGAGGATGGGAAGGGGAAACAAAGGAGGAGCTACAATGCTTGATAAGAAATGTACTCATTATCTTGCCCATGTAATTGTACCCCCTCTGTACAGTATTTTCACAATTAGAATATTTGGGTTTGTGCTATTATAATTGTTACCAAATATTACTGATTTTAAGGTGTTCTGTTTAGTCATATAATCTGGTTTGGAATAATTTATCCATCCCTTCTTTCCTCTCTTCCCCTCTCACTTGCTTCTCTTCTTTTTTCCTTTGCTTTGTTTTCTCGTTTCTCCCCTCCTTATTTGCTAGGCAAGCATTGTACCATTTGAGCCATACCCAAGCCCTTTTTTGCTTTGGTTATTCAGGGAATGAATGTATCAAGTTTTACCTGGAGCTTTTATCAGACTGCACTACTACTTAAGGCTTTCTGTGTAGTTAGGACCACATGTACATGTCACCATGCGTGCCTTATTAATATAGAATTGAGTTCATTTGGATTGGCCTCCTGAATATCTGGGATTACAGGCTGTTATACCTGGCCTTTTTTTTTTTTTTTGGGTCCGGTCGTGGGGCCTGAACTCTGGGCCTGGGCGCTGTCCCTCAGCTCTTCAGCTCAAGGCTAGCGCTCTACCACTTGAGCCACAGTGCCACTTCCGACTTTATGCTTTTTGCTTATGTGGTGCTGAGAAATTGAACCCAGGGCCTCAGGCATACAAGGCAAGCACTCTACCACTGAGCCACCTTCCCAGCTCAAAATAGATTTTTTTTTTTTGGTCAGTGGTGGTTTTTTTTTTTTTTTTTAAATTATATATATCAGGCCTGGATGCTGTTCTTGAGCGTCTTTTCCTCAAGGCTAGCACCCTACCAATTGGTGCTGAGCCACAGCACCAATTCTCTCTTCTTCTGTTTATGTGGTGCTGAGGAATTGAACCTAGGGCTTTATGCATGCTAGGCAAGCATTCTACCACTGAGTCTCATTCCCAGCCTCTGCCTGGCTTTAAAAAAAGTATGAGTAAAATTTAACTGTTTGTTTTCATAACTGTAGCAGGGCTTGATGGGTAGGGGGAGATTCAGAAATCATTGAAATGTACATCATGTGAGTATAATTCTTCAGTTTATATGCTTCAGGTGTACTGGAAATTAAAAGGACACTTTGGGTGTATGGGAGGAATAGAATGGGGTCTGACTAGTTAAATAACCTGGCATAGAGGAAAAACTCTTTTTGGAGATTAAAAAAATAATTTGTCCTTGGCGACAGTGACTCACACCTATAATCCTAGCTACTCAGGAGGCTGAGATCTGAGGATGGTGGTTTGAAGCTAGCCTCGGCAGAAAAGTCTAGACTTTTTTTTTTTTGGTCAGTTGTGGGGCTTGAACTCTGGGCTTGATCGCCATCCCTGACCTCTTCAGCTCAAGGTGTGCTCTCTATTGCTCTATCAGCTTTCCTGCTTATACTTGTCTCAAACTGGGATTTTCAGATCTCAGCTTCTTCAGTAGGTAGAAGTACAGGTGTGAGTAATTCACCTTGCTTTATCTCTCTTATCACTAATAGAAAAACTGATTTTAAGGCAGTTAACATAGACGTGATGTGTGTGTGTGTGTGTGTGTGTGTGTGTGTGTGTGTGTGTGTGTGTGTGTGTGTGTGTGTGTGTGTGTGTGTGTGTGTGTGTGTGTGTGTGTGTGTGTGTGTGTGTGTGTGTGTTTTATGGGGCTTGAACTTGAGGCCTGGGTGCTGTCCCCGAGCTCTATGGCTCAAGGGTACAACTCTACTTCCAGTTTTTGAGTAGTTACTTGGAGATAAGAGTCTCATGGGGACTTTTCTGGCCAGGCTGGCTTCTAATAGCAATCCTCAGATCTCAGCTTCCTGAGTATCTAGGATTACAGGCATGAGCCACTGATGCCGGGCTTGATCTGTGTGTTTTAGACCCTCCCCTTCCTCCATGTATATTGAATGAAATTCCAAAGGCTTTATCCATGCTAAGGTCATGGTATGTTGTAACATTAAATGCATACGTTTAAATTCTGGTTCCATTACTCACTAGATAGGCATTCCTTGATCAGTTTCTTAAACTCATATTCACTGAATCCATATCTTTACCATGAAATAATTAATCTGTTGGACAGAATGTCTTGAATAATAATAAGTGCTCAATAAATGGTAGTTGTTGTTATTGTTGGTTGTTATTTTTCTTTAGTATATATTTCTTTTTTTTTTTTTTTAATGTAATTTTAGGGAAAGAGAACAACCACCACGATTTGCTCAACCTGGGACATTTGAATTTGAGTATGCATCTCGATGGAAGGCTCTTGATGAAATGGAAAAACAGCAGCGTGAGCAGGTTGATAGAAACATCAGAGAAGCCAAAGAGAAACTGGAAGCAGAAATGGAAGCAGCTAGGCATGAACACCAATTAATGCTAATGAGGCAAGGTAAAAAAGGCCTTTCATACAGATGTGATTTTTTTTTTTTCCCTCTCCATAAAAGGATATTTGTGTCCTACTGATAGGTATTACTATTTGAACTACCTTGTAGGATTCCAGTGTTGGAAGTGATTATAGCAACAATAAATTTTTTTTAGCTAGTCCTGAGGATTGAACTCAGGGCCTGGGCACCGTCTCTGAGCTTTTTTTGCTCAAGGCTAGCATTGTACCACTTGAGCCACCTTATTCTGTTTGTATGGTGTTGAGGAATCAAATCCAGGGCTTTATAAGGCAAGCACTCTACCACTAAACCACATTCCAAACCCCTCCTCCCCCTTTTTAAAAAAAATTAATGGAAGAGAGGTCCTGTTTATTTTTATTTTTTTGTTGGGTGGGGCTTAGTGGAGGCGTGGACACTTGCTAACCCCCATTTCTTCTGCTCAAGGGTAGCGCTCTACCACTTTGCACTACAACATCACTTCTGGTTTTCTGGTGGATAATTGGAGGTAAGAGTCTCATGAGGGCTGGGAAAGTGGCTCAGTGGTTGAGCGCTTGCCTTGCATGCATGAGGCCCTGAGTTCGGTTTCTCAGCACCACATAAGCAAAAAGAAAAAAGCTAGAAGTGGCGCTGTGGCTCAAGTGGTAGAACGCTAGCCTTGAGCTGAAGAGCTGAGGGACGGTGCCCAGGCCCAGAGTTCAGGCCCCGCGACTGGACCCAAAAAAAAACAAAAAAAAGAGTCGTGACTTTCCTGCCCCAGGAGGTTTTAAATCTCAGTCTTCAGATCTCAGCCTCCTGAGTAGCTAGGATTATGATGTGAGCCACCAGTGTCCAGCGAAGACCTCTTTACAAATACAAAAAAAACCCCCAATAACCCAGAAACTTCTCATAGAAAATGTATGAGATCAGAAGTGTTTCAGATTATTGAGTTCTGGGTTTCAGTTTTTTTCTTTTCTTTTGTTTTCTTTTTTTTTTTTTGCTGGTCTACCACTTGAGCAATAGCACCAATTTTGGCTTTTTCTGTTTATGTGGTACTGAGGGTTGAATGCAGGGCCTTATGCATAAAAGGCAAGCACTCTACTACTAAGCCATATTCTCAGCCCTATGCTAGACTTTCCTGTCCAGACTGGCTTCAAACCTCCATTCTGTTTTTATTGTTGTGATAGTAATAAATTATAATATTAAATATAGATTATAATAATAAATTACTATTAATTCTGTGGCTTGAACTCAGGGCTTGGGTGCTGTCTCTGAGCTTTTTTACTCAAGGCTAGTACTCTTTTCTCATGGACTTTCCTGTCTTGCCTGTTTTGGAACCATAATCCTCATCATATCTCAGCCCTCTGAGTAACTTGGATTATAGACATGAGCCACTGGTGTTTAACTATAGCTGTCTTTGTTTTGTTTTGTTTTGTTTTGTTTTGTTTTGTTGGTGGTGGGGCTTGAACTCAGGCCCTAGGCACTGTCCCTCAGCTCTTCAGCTCTATCATTTGAGCCACAGCAACACTTCCGTCTTCTAGTGGTTTTTTCGAGATAAGAGTTTCATGGGCTTTCCTGCCTAGGCTGGTTTTGAGCTACAGTCCTCAGATCTCAGCCTCCTGAGTAGCTAGAATTACAGGCATGAGCCACCGGGGCCTGGCTAGTTGTCTTTTTTTTTTGTCAGTCGTGGGGCTTGAACTCTGGGCCTGGGCGCTGTCCCTCAGCTCTTTAGCTCAAGGCGAGTGCTCTGCCACTTGAGTTACAGCGCCACTTCCGGTTTTCTGGTGGTTTATTGGAGATAGGAGTCTCACGGTCTCTCCTGCCCGGGCTGGCTTTGAACCGCTATTCTCAGATCTCAGCCTCCTGAGTAGCTAGGATTACAGGCGTGAGCCACCAGCGCCCGGCTGGCTAGTTGTCTTTTTATAGCCATTTATATTGTTGCAGCTCTTCCCTTGTCCTTAATTTTCCAAAATTTTCTTAGTTATTCCTGTCACTGATGTTTTTCACTATATATATTTGTTCTTTTTTAAAGTAAACATCTGATTAATTGCTACTTCGTCCTTACAGTTTTTGCTTTTATGTCTTATTTTAGAAGGATCTTGCTATACAGCAGACTCACCTCTTGATGTTTATACTTCAGCCTTCCTAGTATATGTTGCTTTTTAAAATTGTACATACCCCTGCATGATAGTACTGGGGCTTGAATGCGTGGCTGGTTCTCTGTCACTTGAGCCACTTCTCAAGCCTTCATTTTCCTCTGGTGTTTTGCAGATATGAATCTGGAGGATTTTTCTATGTCTGCTGGCTTTTGAATCTCAATTCACAGATCTCAGCCTACTTAGTACCTAGGATTATTGATATTAGCCATAGGCACCAGCTTCTGTTTTGTTATATTTAAGAGATAGGCTCTTATAGTGTTGCCCATACAGGCCTCAAATGACAAGATTCAGATGGTTTGCTGCTTGTCACCTGCTCCCATCTTTGGTACTGGGAACTCATGGTCCAGTTATCTCCCTAAGCATTTTTTGCTTAAGTTAGAGCTCTACCACTTGAACCAGTTCCTGCTTTTTTGGTGGTTAATTTTGGAGATGGGATTCTTATGGACTTTTCCTGCCTGGGTTGGCTTCAAATAGCAACCCTTAGATCTCAGCCTCCTGAATAGCTTAGATATAGCATGAGTTACTGATGCTCTTTACCTTTTGATCATTAATATAGAAGCCAGTTTTATACTTTTTTTTTTTTATTTGGGTCTGGTTGTGGGGCCTGAACTCTGGGCCTGGGCGCTGTCCCTCAGCTCTTCAGCTCAGGGCTAGTGCTCTACCATTTGAGCCACAGAGCCACTTCCGGCTTTTTTCTTTTTGTTTATGTGGGCCTCATGCATGCAAGGCAAGCACTCTACCACTGAGCCACCTTCCCAGCCCCTTTTTTTCTTTTTTTTTTTTTTAATTGAACTTTACTGTAATTTTTTTTTTTTTGGTTGGTCGTGGGGCTTGAATGCCAGGCTGGGGCGCTGTCCCTGCACTCTTCAGCTCAAGGCGAGCGCTCTACTGCTTGAGCCACAGCACCACTTCCGGTTTTCTAGTGGTTTTTATTGGAGATAAGAGTTTCCTGCCTGGCCTGGCTTTGAACCGCAATCCTTGGATCTCAGCCTCCTGAGTAGCTAGGATTACAGGCGTGAACTACTGGTGCCCAGCTACACAGTGTTAACTTTCTATCATTTTTTTTTTTTTTTTGGGTCTTGTCATGGGGCCTGAATTCTGGGCCTGGGCACTGTCCCTCAGCTCTTCAGCTCAATGCTAGTACTCTACCACTTGAGCCACAGCGCCACTTGCGGCTTTCTTCTTTTTGCTTTTTTGGTGCTGAGGAATTGAACCCAGGGCCTCACACATGTAAGGCAAGCACTCTACCACTGAGCCACCTTCCCAGCCCGAGCTATCAGGTATTTTGTTACTACTTTTTCCCCTTCCATTATATTCTTGTAGATTATTTTGTTTGGAATACCTTTGTACTTATAACTCAAGTAATAGAAGTGTGTGTATATACTTTAAGTGATAATTCCTAAGCAAAAGAAAATAGAGCTATGTTTGTTTCATCATTTTCCTTTTCCTCTCTTCTCTTTTTTTAAAAAATTTCCAGTCTGAGACTGAGACTCTTAACTCTGTACTTGACATTTTTGCTCATTGGTTAGTGCTCTACTAACTGAGCTATGTCTCTAGCGCCCCCCCCCCCCCCCCCCCCCCATGTATGCCTGGCCCACCCTGTGTATGCCTGGATGCTGTCTCTGAGCTCTTTGGTTCAAGGTTAGCACTCTACCTCTTTGAGCCACAGTTCCACTTCTGGATTTTGAGTGGTTAATGGGAGGTAGTCTCAAGAGGACTTTTCTGCCTGTCTGGCTTCAAACCATGAGTAGCTAGGATTACATGTGTGAGCCACTGGTGCCTGGCTTTTTTTTTTTTTTTTTTAAATAGTGCTAGGTTTCAAACAAAGAACCCCCCATGCTGTGCTCATAGTAGGCATGTGTTCAATACTCAACCACACCTCATAACTTCTTGTCTGTTTGTCTCCCTTCCTCCCTCCCTCCCTCCCTCCCTTCCTCTCTTCATTCTTTCATTCTTTCACCAGTCATAAAACTTGAACTCAAGGTCTGGGCACTGTCCCTTAATTTCTTTTGCTCAAGGTTAATCCTCTACCACTTGAGCCACAGTGCCACTTCAAGCTTTTTCTGCTTATGTGGTACTGAGGACTTGAACCCAGGGCTTCATGCATGCTAGGCAAGCACTTTACCACTAAGCCACATTCCCAGCCTCTACTTTCATTTTTCATTTGTTGGGATTTCTGACATTGATTTAGTATTTTTTACTGATAAGCCTCATAAAAATTTCAGCCCTGTTTTTGTTTTTGTTTTTGTTTCTGATACTGGGGCTTGCAAATAAGGTACTGTCTCTGAGCTTTTGTGATAAATATTAATGCTGTACTACTTGAGCCACAGCTCCACTTTGAACTCTTTGGAAGCTCATTGGAGATAATAGTCTATGGACTGGGATTGTAAGCATGTTCCAGTTGGTAAGAGTGCCAGCCAACGAGTGAAAGTGGTTGCAGGTATCCAGTTCAAGTCCTAGTCTCGGACATGGGAAAGAGGAAGGAAAGAGTCCTATGGACTTTGCTGCTAGGCCAGCTTCAAATCCAGTTCCTCAGATCTCAGCCTCCATAGTAGCTATGATTGTAAGTGTGAGCCACCAGTGTGTGAAAGTAGGCTGAGGCATGATGTTTTTCTTCTTTTTCTTTTTCTTTTGTCAGTCCTGGGGCCTGAACTCTGGGCCTGGGCACTGTCCCTCAGCTCTTCAGCTCAAGGCCAGTGCTCTACCACTTGAGATACACTGCCACTTCTGGCTTTTATTTGCTTATGTGGTACTGAAGAATTGAACCCAGGGTCTCATGCATGCAAGGCAAGCATTCTACCACTGAGGCCACCTTCCCAGCCCATGATGTTTTTCTTGTTTTTCTTTTTGCCAGTCCTGGAACTTCAACTCAG